TTTAAAAATGGCGGCTCTCCGCTTATGCAAATGAAGCCCGGGAAATTCAAATCCCGGGCTTCATTTGCAAGTGCGGTATGCCTACATTACCCCGCTAGTTCGAACTAGCGGGGTAGTGTAGACATACCCTCTCTGTTTCAAAATCTGAGCTGTGGAGCAATATATATATTTTCAGGCCAGATCATTCCCTTTTGCAGGTTTTTTTCCTCTCTAGCGGACTGGAATAGATCATTCAGGCCAGATCATTCCCTTCTGCAGGTTTTTTTCCTCTCTAGCGGACTGGAATACCAGTGAATCTGGACAGAGTTTCTGCCTGACAATCCCTCTTCACATCCTATGGAATCAGCTGTAGGTTTGCCCCCCATAAAACCCACTTGGGAGATCCACTTAAAGCTATGTGCCTCCACCCCAGCCTGAGTTTCCACTGTAGCTTTATTCCCAGTTTCTCCAGCTGGAGCTGTTTTAGAGCACAGAAAAGCAAGGAAGCAAGATACCACTGAGAAACAGTCTGGGTTTACTTGTGTATATATTGTAAAGCTGGAAGGGGATGACTTCACAAAGATGGGTCATCTCCTCGGCCAGCTCCCTCTGTATCTGCAAAGCTTAATGCTGCAGAGCGGCCAGTGAGGAGGTATTATGGAGTCAGTGCCGAAGGAGTAAACCACAGAAGCAGTGTTTTCTTCCATAGCCCAGGTCCTCTCCATTCCAGGTGGTCTGCAGATCCGGCAGTCCTTACTGAAGCAAAATACTCATGGGCAACAAATCCCACTAAAGGCACTAGGACCTTGCCCTAATAAGGACTAAAGACTGCATGATTTGGCCTTTACCTTTCATAACCTAGTCACATTCTTTGGTCTGTATAAGGTACATTAAACACAGAAGAATTAGGGCAATGACATTATTTGTTTAAAAAAACCTGTTGTACAGGCTTCTGTTAGCTCACTCTTACTATATACACACTGATTGTCAAGAGCTCTTTTCTTTAACATTATGGTTAGTGTTCTGAGTTCCACTTAAAAGGAGGCCACATTACCCCATAGTAACTTGTCTCATCTCATTCCTACTACTTTGTGCATGTAGCCATTGGAAGAGAGTAACACAGGTTTTTTTTAAATTAAACCTTGCACATACTAATAATGTGTTGTTTTTAAATACAGAGAGCCTGATCCTGGTTTCAATTACACTGCTCTAAACCTGGAGTAGAATATATTTTTCAAATCAATGGGGTTACTTCACCATAAATGACAGAAAATCTTGGCCCCATATTCAGGAATGGGAGGTGTAAGGGAAGGGTTTCTTGGCAGCAGTAGAGTGGAAGAGAAGAGACAGACAGAAAAGACATAATACAGTAGACTTCCGATAATCCGGAACCTATGGGACCTACGTGGTGCCGGATTATCAGATATGCCGGACTATCAGGCGGTACTATAAGATGGTTTATATACATATATATATATATATATATATATATATAGAGAGAGAGAGAGAGAGAGAGAGAGAGAGAGAGAGAGAGAGAAAATATAAAGTATTCTTAACCCTTTTTATTGTACATACCGTATACAGTATACTGTAATGTTTTAGTTTTTTTAAGCCTTTTTTACCCTTTTTGCTCAGTTCAGCTGCTGCTGCTGTTACCTTGTGACTCATATTTTTTGCTGAAGCTTACTCACTAGGGTCTTGCCATTTTGATGCCGGACTATCAGGAGTGCCGGACTATTGGATGCCGGACTATTGGAGTTTTACTGTATCTGAGAAGGCAGAGGCGCAGGAACAACAAAGCGAGTTAGATTGGTGATAGGGTGCTGAGCAGAAGCTGGCTTGGCAGCATAAAGTTAGCAGCTGCAGTGGTGCTAAACTGGAGAGAGGTGAAGATTTACAATGGCTAATACGTGCGGTATTTGAGGATCTGCAGATTTAGGCTGACTTAAGTAAGAATAGTCTGCAGCATGATGAAAAGGCTGCAATCCTTTGCTCTGAAAAAAGTTAGGATACTTGGTATATAGAAATCATGACTGATAAGGTGGAGAATGGTTCTTGGACATTCTACTATGACTTCCAATATCTCTCTGCCATGTTACATCTTATAAGCCATAGAGAATATTTTCAAAAAACATCTGTAACACCCGAACTAAAGAAAATTCTCAGGAAAAAAGTCAGTATGGATTATTTCATTTCAAAATGATAGACCAAATTCTCCTCTCACTTACTATGGTGCAAATTAGTAACTCCACTTAAGTAAGTGACATTGTACTGATATAAAAGTGGCATGAGAAGAAAGTCTTCTCTTATACTCTTTTGACTGCAAAAAATATATATCATCTAATTTTTCCAGTTTTATTTTCTCCTGCCTTGGACTCATGATCAGCTGCTGCTACAATTTAGTGGTGAAATGCAGAATTTGTGATACTTAAAATACTTTTAATCAAAGGAAAAAAGAAAGGAGTCAATTATTACCTTTAAAATAATTGAAATCACCGCACTTAGAATCAATTCAGTAAAGATTACTTGCTTTTCTATTTATTTTCTTTTAATACTGGTCTCCTGATCCTTTAATCCTGTTGAATTTTGCATTATAAAATGAGAACATAATCCTTGTTTTTTAGACTTTGTAGGTGTTCTTCTACAATTTTTTGTGGCATTGTAGTCTTACTGTTAAATGAGCTACAACTTTTTTTAGTCAGTGCAGTACTCTTATAGAAGTGTATATACATGCTGCATAGAAAATTAGGGGCATTATATTTGCAACAGATACTGAGCAAAGTATGAAATTGAGAGCGAGCTTAGAAATACTTACATTACTATCCTCCAAAAATTTAAGTGCTTTAGCTATGTTGTTCAGTCGAAAAATACGGTGAGTTGAAGACTTATATTCATGCAGCTAGAAAAGAGAAATAGATATTGCTTTACAATGCAAACTAGTGATGAATGTTCTGAGTTGTTTAATTGATTTGTTTACCCTGGAGAATGATTCCTCCTGGTCTCAGAATCTAAGAATCTCTAAGACATTATGCATGTGTAAAAATCAAAAACAAAACGACTCCCCAGCCTGGCCGTTTTCACTTCAGTGCTAGCAAAGTGACAGAATCAGTCATGAAAAAGGAACAAAGCATAGCTTAGTGGATTAATCATTTAGGCTATGTCTACACTGCAGTGCTATTTCAGGATACTGGAGGTATCCCGAAATAGCTATCCCACTTCTTAACAGCAAGTCCGTTATTTCGAAATTTAACGGGTTTGCTATTCTGACATTCCTGTAAACCTCATTCCACAAGGAGTAAGGGACATTTTGGAATAGCGGGTTATTTTGAAATTTGGTGCTGTGCAGATAGTTCATATTACGAAATAAGCTATTTTGAAACTGATTCGAAATAAGCTATGCAATTTGCATAGCTCACATTGCATAGCTTATTTTGAGCTACAGGTGCAGTGTAGGTGCACCCTTAGGCTTTGTCTGCACCGGTGTTTCTCAGCAGAGGAACCAACAACTTTTTTGGGCTCCTGGCAAGGTGGGAGGTGGGGGGCGTGGCTCTGTGCTCCCAGGAGGAGCTGGGCCTTGTGAGGAAGAATGGTGTCAGGGTCATCAGAGCTGCTGGGAGTGCACCACGTGTGGCTCTGGTAACAATTTAAATGGCCCAGGGCTCTGAGCACTTCCACTGTCATATTAGTAGCAGAGGCGGCCAGAGGCCTGGGCCCTTTTGAATCACTGAGCTCCAGCAGAGCTCCCTTTTCCCCGTCAGCAGGTCTGCTTCTCAATGACCAGTCAATGGACTGATGCCAGTGTCTACGATCTCCCTGACACAGTTTAGGAAGGCAATAAGCCAGTCCCCGCTATGAAAAATGGATGTTGAGAAAAATAGGGTTATGCTATATCTTTTAATCAAGTTTATAATTAGTTAGTGCATGACTGGTTCTAAACAGGGTTTGTCCTCACATGACATGGACAACACTTAGTTAATCATCATCACAAGTAACAGCATTTCACCCAGGGCTTGTTTTCACTGCTACTAAGTCCCTGTTTTTTACCTGAAGGTAATTAAGGAGTATGAGCTATCCTCCGGTAAAACACATGGGCTGTGTCTACATTGGCATCCCTTTCCGGAAAAGGGATGCTAATGAGACACATCGCAATTGCAAATCCGCGGGGGATATTTAAATATCCCCCGTGGCATTTGCACTTACATGGCTGCCGCTTTTTTCCGGCTTGGGGATAAGCCGGAGAAAAGCGCCAGTCTAGACGTGATTGTCTGGAAAATAAGCCCTTTTCTGGAGGATCTCTTATTCCTACTTGCTTTTCCCCAAGCCGGAAAAAAAGTGGCAGCCATGTAAATGCAAATGCAGCGGGGAATATTTAAATCCCCTGCGGAGTTGCAATTCCGAAGTGTGTCATTAGCATCCCTTTTCCGGAAAGGGATGCCAATGAAGACACAGCCATGGAGACAAGACATTGTAGTTTTACCATTAGGTAAACAGCCAGAGGTTGACCTTGGCATATTTATCTTCTGATAAAACAAAATGTCTTTCTCTTCACTGTATTTTTCATCTCAGAATAGCTCTGTTACCTCAAAGTTAAAAAATGCTGCTTTCTTAGCAGCGAAGACAAGCTTCTAGCTGCCCCGTGGCCTTGTAATTCCAGGATGGTGCTCTGTTTTTTTGTTGTATGGATAAACTTCTGCCTGTGTAACCAGTTTGGCAAACTGTCTTTCCTCCAGGCTACCTATTTAGTAGGATGTCTCAGGATGCATTGCTACACAGGTTTCTCACACTATTCAATATGCACGTTCTGCAGACCTCCATCCTCTGCTGAGGAAGTTTGAGACAGATGTCAGATTCACCCAAGAGTCATTAATCCAGGCCCAGTTAGGATGGTAGGTGTGGTCACACAAAATTGGTTATATACAA